AAGTGTGAGACATTGTCGGTTGTTCCAATTGCCGATCAAATTATTGACCAGGTGAAGACCGAAAAGCTCAGGAAATGTGTTTGTTTATTTTTTTCTCAGAGAATGACAGAGGACCTTCTTGGTGTTTGTAGGCCTCACGCCTCTAGATTAACGCACTGCCCTTTGTACCAAAAAAAAGAAAAAAAGTCTCTTTGTAACTTGTGAGGTCTTTCCATGTTTTATCAAATCTATTTTTAGCATAGTTTTGATATTATTTTATTTGCAGGAGTTGGAGACAAGAACAAAAAGTAGATTGGGAGTGTTGCTGGGATCAAGTCGTCATAGAACTGACACTCTTCCACTTTTGAACAAAGAAGTTGTTATGAATGTGAATGTTAGCAAGGAGTGGCCGAGAAAATCATGTAACCCTGTTTTCTCCACTACAGCTTGGAGATCTCGTGCTTCTGTATTTTTAATAGCTACTGCTGCTGTTTGTTTTGCAATTTGTGCTGCCACTATCCATCCTCAAAAGTTTGGTGAGTTTGCAGTAACAATAAGGCGATCTTTGTTTCAGAGATCTTAGATGTTAAATTAGGTCCCTGAATCATCCAAGTGCTCTAGATCTTTTCATGTGTACATATCTCCTGTATGTAAAATTATATGCAACCAAGCTGATGAAAGCCTCATCATACAAATGCGGGGGCACCAGCTTGGGAGTTTTGGTTTCTGGGCTTGCAGATTCCATCCAAATGCAGCTGTTGAATGCCCTACCATCGTATTTCTAGCAGAGATTGGGATGATCACTGTTCTTGGATAAGCGTAGTTAGTCTCTGATCTCAACTCATTTGAACCAGAAAGAGTTCTGATATTTACTTCTGCTGTCTAACTAAATATTTTAGAGAAGGTTAGATCACATTCAGTTGCAAGTGCTCACCTCAGTATTCCCATTCAGTTCTTCGCATCAGGTAAAATGGACAATTGGGCATTCGACAAAGCATGGATGATGCAACTGCTGACATGTGCTTTCTTAAAGTGAGGAACCTTTCTGTGATTCACCTAGATCTCCCCTAATATATTTCTGTTATTGTAATTCCCCCTGTATCATTTTAATCTGCCATGGCCAGTAGCCAGAGTTTCATCGATGTATTCAGAGAAGTACAGAACAATAATAAAACAAACCAATCCTTTTGTTTGCCTTCATTTTTGATCCATTCATTCCATCATGCTTGAAAGAAAAATATCCAGTCCATTCACCATTGTTGCAAGAATCCACAGCCTGCGCAGTTCAACCCTACTGATTGATTGAGCCTTGCTCAAATTTGGGAAGGAGGTCATGGACTCAAGCGGGGCAGGTATCAGCATTAACAATTCAAGAAAATGTTAGCACATTTCCTCCCTATTGCTACTGTTGCAATTACAAATCTAGATTGAATTATTATGTAAATATGTGAAATAGTTGAAGGAATTCGATTTTTTTAAATAAAATTTTTAATTTGAATTTTATAAATGAAAGAACATATATTGAGAGAATTTTTTTTTTATAAGATTTGACGTGATTCGATTATAAATGAATTAAGAATTAATATGATTACTGGATATTAAAAAGTAAGTATAAAAAAAAATTTATAACTTTATATTGAATTCATCTTCTTTTATTACAGTAAGCACATGCGTTTTGGCACACACACTTGAGAATTATTGAATTTTAGAGATCTGAACTGGTGGTGCAAGCAAACTGCAAGCGCTACAATTGCCATAACAAGCTGGGATGTGATTGATGTGGGGTAAAGCACCGAAATCTGACTCAGAATGACATCGGCATGGCATGTCTAGTAGGCTAGTAGCTCAAGGACCGTTCAAAAACAAAAAAACAAAAAAAAATTCCAATTTGCTTCTTTGATAAAATATATGAAAAATGATTATAAGGTGAGTGTGACACAGACACAGCTAACTTTTGATTTTTAGTTAACATCTTTGACTTTTTGTTTGTCGTTTTGTCCATAAAAATGACAGCTTACCTCACACGACATTCGGGTTGTGTGCTTAAATCCATAGATCTGATTCGTCCTTCCTCAAATTGTATTATTCAAAAAAAAAAAAAAAACACACACTCTCTCAATTTGACATTGGTAAAGAACCCGTGTGACGCAATTGATCACTTATTTTTTTGTTAAAAGGTATCTTATTTTTTGAGTGTAAGGTTTAATTTTTTTTTTTTACATTTTTTTATTATGGTTGTGGTTACTGTTGTTCAAAAAGACAATCGGTG